CTTCCACGGTTGGGGTTACAGACGCTTTGTCGTAGAGACGCTGCGAGAGCTCAAATCGGAGGAGCAGGAAGGGCAACAGATGACGCAGACAGAGTACGAATATGCAAAGAAGATGATTGGGGCTAACCTCTCGAACTTCTCGGCCTGGCATTATCGTACGAAACTCATCCAGCGCATGTTGAACGAGAAATCCGCTAGCGACGCGGAGCGCAAAGCGATGCTTGACAATGGTACGTCATCCCCTTTGTCATTTGCGTGGCCTGGAGACAGCGTACAAGTATGTGTGTTGACATATCATACTGGAAGAATTGGACCTGATCCATCGTGCCTTGTGTGACCCGTATGACCAGTCATTATGGTTCTATCATCAGAACCTAATGTGCGTCTTTGATCCATCTGTGGCGGATCAGACGCTGGCACCGCATTTGAGTGATAGCGAACGCCTTGATTATCTCCGACAGGAAATCGACGAGATTCAAGATATGTTGGATGGGGCCGAGGATTGCAAGTATATTTACCAAGCATTGATTGATTGTACGATGTTGGCGTGGAAGGTGGAGGGAAGAGCGCCCAGTGGAGAGGAGAAAAAGAAGGTGCAGGATTGGCTGTCGGAATTGAAGAAGCTGGACCCGCTGCGACTCCAACGGTGGCTGGATTTTGAACACTCCCTCAGCCGCTGAGCCGGTCATGGTCAGGTCATCCCTTGCCGATGCGATATGTATAGTAATCTATAGACGCCATCTGCGGGGGGAATAATTTTTTTGCTTTGTTTACAAAAGATTTTCCGATCTTCAACTTACTTTTCCTTGCTTTTTTTTCTTTTCTCCCCCTCTTGTGCAATGATGGGAGGGGGCGGACCTGGGACAGGAAGAAAGATGATGGGCAGCAGCTGCAGCACTTGCTCCATAGTGGGACCAACCACCGCGATGGATTTTTGTTGGTGAGTTTCAGAATAACAAGTGTCCACGGGAATGCTCAATGCTGGGCCTCCCTCGGGCGGGAGAATGGGCAATTAATGCAGCCCCGGAATCATTTTAGTGGTTCACCTAGCAGGAACCCGCGCATCGCCTGTTGATAAATCCCGACCACAGAATTGATGCGAGTACAGACGTAAGTACAGTAGTGTAGTCTAAGTAACCTGTCGAACCGCCAGCCAGCCCGTCTTTATTCTCTTCCAACCGAGCATGGCTGTGAAGGTATTTTCTTTGCATAAGGAACAGCCTCTCTCCTACTCTCCTCTCTCTCCTTCCCCCCCTTCTTCCCAGCACTAGCTCCAACACTGCTGGCTTGATACGTCCTTATTGCCGGCTGGCTAAGGGACTAAGTCGTAGTGTAGGCAGACTAGTGGTTGACTTAAGAGGTGCCTGCCAGTGGATGTTTATTTAGTATATTTAGTAGTAAGAGTAAGTAGTTTAGTTAAGGGGGAAGGCAGCATCCGAATCACGGGGTTCTGAGAGTCTCGCCAAGCCCCATCTTTCTTTTGCCAGGGGATCTCCCGTTGATTACTTTCTACTTTACTTACTTACTTCCATTCTTCCTCAGCAACGGTGATTTGACATCGTTCTCTGCTTGACCTTCGTGTTCTGCCGCCGACGGGAGAAGAACGAAGGAGGGAATCTTCATAAATCCACTCTCCATCCCTCCTGGATCCATTGCGGGCATCTTTCCCCCCTGCCAGTCCCGTGGTACAAAGTCCGGAATTCCACCCGCTGGCTCTGGGTCCATTCCATCCCATCATCCCATCTTATCCAACCTCTCCCCCTTCCCTCTCAATTTACAATTCGGCTACAGCCTGTGGCTTCCGCCCGACACACCCGGTTTTCTTCGTCATCCTCGGTCCCTATCATGGAATAATCGCTGTTTGGACTTCATCAATCATATCGAATTTCGTATCTGCCGCCTCTCTCTTGTTGATCGAAATTGGATCGAAGAAACCAGCTGGTTTCACATAGTGGACACCCTCCCAGGTGGTCGGGTTCCAATATGTCTTCTAGGAACAGCGCAGAGTACGAAGGTGTAAGCTTCTCTCACCAAAACCTGGCGATCACGAAGAAAGACTCATAATCTTATTCGCACCAGGATTCCTTTGACGATGCGCCCGAAGCCCCGAACACCCATGGCAGTTTGAACGTTTCCATCCCCCAAAGCTCTTCCACACGGTCTTTGACAGACAGCCCCCCGAGCGGATCGAATGTTGCCACGCCTCAATTGACGGAAGCTCCCCCGCTACCGGCGACTTCTCACGAAGACCCCGAATCGGCCGAGGAGACAGATGATGCTAGCGTGGAGAAACAATCAGAAACGGAGGATACCCCTCGCAAACAGAAACTCCAGAAATCTCCACTCTTGACAGCGCACAGGTTATCAACAACGTCTCTCGACGACGTGAACCTTGCCAGTAGCAACAAGGACGATGAATCGACTGAAAACCAGCCGTTGAGCCAGGAGCTCAACTCCGGTACCCCTCCTCCATTATCCTCGAGAGATTCCACGTCGTCCCACAGTTCGCGCCTCCAGGGATCATCCAACGCTTCCACCACAAAGAACCAAGCCCCTGTTGCACCGCCCCCTCCGCCAACTCGATCGTTTACCAGCCCCTTTGCATGGCTGTCTCGAAGCTCGTCGGGCGGAAAGGACGCCAAGTCACCTCCGGCACAACCACGTCGCAATACGGCCGCATCCATATCGACTATTGCAAGCAATCCGGAAATGGGTCGTCACCACGAGGGGGAGGATGTTGATGGTCTAGGCCATAGAAAGCCGAGGCGCAGCAGCCTCAAGGACCAGTTCAAACAGCTCAGGTTGCGAGAGGAAGGACTCGCGTCTGAGAATGACGAAGCTAGCGTTGCGTCGGGACGTGCAAGTTTCACGGCCGGAAGTCCTCCGCCCAGCATACCGGAAGAAGGGGAGAATGGCCTTGCGGCGGCCCCCCGGGCCACGTCGCCGCCTAATGGAGCATCAACCGTCAACCCTAAACTTGCTCCGGGAACTGTTGCGGGTATTTCAACCTCTGCAACTGATGCGTCTGCGCCGGTCGACTGGGAGCTCTGGCAGCAACTAGTCAACAATGGTGCGCAAGCGTTGAAGGGGGCAAACTCGGATGAACTGAATGCCGCTATCAAACGAGGCATTCCGCAGACTATTCGTGGTGTTATTTGGCAGGTTCTGGCCGACAGCAGAAACCCCGAGCTTGAGGAAGTATACCGGGAGCTCATTGCCCGTGGCACGGACAAGGAGAAGCAGAGCAGCCCCAATGGTACCATTAACGGAGAGAAGGACTCAACGGCCTCTTCATCTCGCTCATCTGTTCGATCGGAGCGTTCTGCGTCGGTGGCCCACTCGGTCAATGGCTCGAGTCCTTCCCAGGAGTTGGATCCCGAGAAGCTTTCCAAAGAGCAGGCTGCCAACGAAACGGCTCGGAAGAAGAAGGCCAAAGAGGAATCAGCCGCGCTTTTGAAGCTAGAGAAGACTATTCGTCGTGACCTTGGTGCTCGCACGAGCTATTCACGCTACTTCGTGTCGCAAGGAAATCAGGAGGGGTTATTTGGGCTCTGTAAGGCATACGCTTTGTATGATGAGGGCGTGGGGTATGCTCAGGGGATGAACTTTATTGTGATGCCATTGCTATTCAATGTGAGCAGGTCTACCTATCTACTACAACATCAAGAATATGATTGCTGATGCTAAACTTTCTTAGATGGACGAGGCTGAAGCATTCACGCTACTCGTGAAGCTCATGAATCAGTACGGACTGCGGGAGCTGTTCATCCATGACATGCCAGGTCTCCATCGCAGCTTATATCTGTTCGAACGCCTGCTGGAGGACGTGGAGCCGGCTCTCTATTGTCACCTCCGGCGGCGGGGCGTACCCCCTCAGTTGTATGCCACTCAATGGTTCCTGACGCTATTCGCCTACCGATTCCCTCTTCAGCTGGTTCTTCGCGTCTACGATCTCATCTTCGAAGAGGGCCTTGAGAATACCATCTTGAAGTTCGCCCTGGCTATCATGCGCAGGAATGCAGACACTCTGTTGGGCATGAGGGACATGGCACCGTTAACAACCTTTTTGAAGGAGCGCCTCTTTGACGTTTACATTGACAAGCAGCCCTCGGCGTCATCTATCTTGGAGTCTGGTTTCTTCGGAAGCTCAGGGGCCGCGGACAAGGAAGTCTACCGCGCCGACATCATGGTTCAGGACGCTTGCGCCATCCCTCTGGAGCCCGAGACGATTCGCGCGTACACGGCGGAATGGGAGGAGATGGTACGGACCGAGAAGGAGCGTGAGCAGGAGCTAGACAACCTTCGGCACACCGTTGCAACTCAAAGTGCTCGAATCCGACTACTAGAGGAGCAGGCCGAAGCATCAGACAAGGAGCACGTGCAGCTTGCGTCCGAGCTGGTGCACCTGAAGGTGGAAAACGAAGAATTAACGGACATGAACGATGCCATGAAGATGCAGGTCACCGAGTTGAAGAACGTCGTGGATAAGCAACCGGCCGAAGTCGAGGAGAAGCTGCGGACTGAGATGGACCGCATCATGAAGCGCAACATGGAAGTCCAGAACGAGAACCGGTCTATGGTTGAACAGATGGCCGAGATGGAGAAGGAGCTGGTGGAGGCTAAGATGAAATGGGCTGAGGTAAGTTTTCGTCAATATGTGACTAAGTGAATGACATCTGACCCAATTGCACCAGATTCATGATGAGCACGAGAACCTGAAACAGAAATGGAGCGATCTTCGCAAGGCTCTCAATTGAGCAGCGGGATGTAGATATATTCTAACCTGAGTTTAGCGGGTGTTGCCTGGCTTCGCTGCTTTGCTTTTCTTCGTCCAGTTCCCAACCATGATTAACTACATCTCTGTTACTCTTTGTACATTTAAGCGGTTGGCACGCGTGGGAGACAGCCTTGTTGGGTAATTTTGTTCATGTTCACGTTCAAGGCAACCACAGGCGAAGAAATTATCTTTGTTAATTGTATCAATGTTGTTCTCTCTTATGTTATCAGCAGCGGCAGCGACCTGGCACTCATGACACATACCGAACTGACCCTTTTCCCTCTCACCACTGTGACATGATGACATTATTGTTTTATGTGCCGAACAGAACTAAATGTGAAGTAGTAGCATGAAACCAATAGATGTATACCATGAATCAAACCATTGACCATTATCATCTATACCATAAAACCATAACATTGCAGTAGAAATAAGAAAGAGAAAAAATAAAAAAAATATCTACAACACACTCTCAAAGAACGTCGTCAACTTATCCGTCCGAACAGGTCCCACAACCGCCTTCAACGCCTTATGCGCCTCACACTGCTCATCATAGTAGACCATATCCTCCAGGGACGCGAACGTCGTCTTCACAGACAGATTCCAGCCCTGGTTGCGCTCATCGGGGATGGAGGCTCCCGCGGCCGAGCTGAGGATGTAGGGTTTTCCGTCCTGTAGATAGTATACCATAAGTCACTGTTTGCATATATATACACACATAGGGAAAGAAGGGAAGGAGAGGTATACTTTAACAGCCGTCTTAGCCAGAACCTTATACTGCTCTAGGACGCGATCGCGGTCCGCGTCATTGGGGATCTTGAAGAGGGTGATACGTTCAATAGGGGCCATTTTGCGGGTGAATGTGGTGAAGGTTCTTCGGAGGGGGAACACTGAGTATTTCTTTTATCAGGGTCTGTAGTAATGTGTGTGTGAGGGAGGTGTTGGTGTGGGATGGAGGGGAACAGGGGAAAGGGAGATGGAGGGGTATTTATACTGGTAGTATGGGATATATCCGATAATGGGGGGGTTACTGCGGGGTAAAAAGAAAACTAGTATTCTGTTCTGCTCTTGCTCTCGGTAGTAGGAAGGTTCGTCGTAGAGAATAGAATGGATTGATTGATTGATTGCTGGGAATGAGTGTATGGATCTTCGTGTCGGCTTCCGACGGATGTTCGGATGGGGGAGGTTAGTTTCCCTCGGATCTAAGGTAGTTACGGATATTGGTGGGGAGAGTGGATTTGTGCTATGGGATTCTACTTGAGGGTTTAGGAGTGATGTGAAGTTGTTACTGGGCATTCTGTACATGGATTGAATTACATGTATGTCAACTGCAGTGTAACTGACAGGAGGCGTGCATGCAGGATGGGATGTTCTGCATTCGAGAGACGGAATGAATGGGTTGGCGGAATTGGGGGCGAGGAAATGATTCCGCCCGGGTATGTCTTTTCTCGGGTCTGTGAGATGACGGAATATTACCAGGCTGGCCACCACTTCGACTACGCTTTACTTGTGGATGATCAATTTCGTTGAAGTCATTGCCTGTTTTCAGATGATCAATGAGATAATTTGCCATTTCAAAATTTGCACATCTAAATACTGTGTTGAATATGTAGTAATCAATAGCTCTTGAGTCCACTGCCTGCTTGGTATACTTCCTGTGCTCCAAGTTGCCCTTGTACAGGAGCCACTGCTTCAGGCTTTATCGTTATACAGCCCGCACCCATCACCAGGAGCCGCGATCACAGGTAGCCTTGATGATCGTATGCAGGGCCAAGAAAGGCCATGCCAGACGCACGCCGTCGGGTGCCAACTGTGATAGTATCGTGGCATATTTGGACGAGTTGGATAGACAGCGCAGAAGTCAACTAACTCATCAGGGTCATGAGCTTAGCCTTCATCATGAAGAACCCTGCTAATTGGACCCATAAAGACCGCATAAAAAATGCGCCTTCAGACTCCGGTAGGCGAACGGTTCACCCTCGAGGTGTTGGGAATGGCCTTCTGCCAGACATTCCCAGCATATCGAGTAATATAGCCTGACTCGACACAGAAGGACCTCTGAGACTCATATCAATCGTTTCCCTAGCCAGCTGAATGGTGACTCTAATTGGGAAATCGGGTTCCATTGACACCACGTATGTGAAAGGAGAATGGCTTATAACCAGGGCCAGTAACCGGCATGTTGTATGCAATATCCCCACGAAATGTACTCCAGACCGACTATCAATCTCCGCCATCGAGCGAACTATATGTATGTGAGTCGTTTTTGTTAGCTCGGCGCTAAGCGATCGACGAATTCATGGATGATATCCTTGATGGGACTAGAGCATCACGCCTGAGTTCCGACGGGCTCAGTCTGTCCGCACACGCTGCATTCAACGTGTCCATAGCCAACCTGCGCAATGCGAGATCTCCAAAACGTGGTTTTGTCCGTCTTTGATCCGCTGAGTCCCACTTCAGATATCATTGACAGGCTCAGGTCTACTCTTAAAGTAGATCTTGTACTTCACGATCTCGACAATCTCCAACTCTTCTTTGTCGTCAGCGGCCGCACCCAATTCCTTCTGTCTCCGCTGCACAATTGCAAGTGGCTGTGGTAGCTTTTTGACCTCTCCGGTCATTCGCTGATACCGTCCAACATATAGATAGACCCTCTTCATCCACTTTGTATCGTCTGGTGCCGTAAACTGCGGAGAGTAATCGGGGAACATGAGTTTGCCGATGGGAGTTTCGAACACAGGGACACCATTGGGATTGCCGGGACCGTCAGGTGATGACCTTGACGAGTCATGGTTTTCGTTATTTTCTTGCGAGGGGATGTTGATAGTGCCTTGGAGCTCGAGGAGGGCAAGACCGGAGGGGGTTTGTAGAAGCTGTGGGAGGGGATTGTTGACGCGTGCGGAGGGATTGGACGCGCGAGGGTGGAGGGGTATTGACGGCATTTTGGAATAACTGTCTTACAGAAAAGTGTCTTGAAGGAAAGAGGAATTGAGCTATTTGTTTTGGTGTGAGGAAAGTGTATAAAGTAGGATATCGAGGGCGTGGCAATTGGGCTGGGAATTGGAGGTCGCGAAAAGAGAGATTAAGATTAGCGCGTCACGCCAATCCCGTATCTTATCGGCATTTCCTCTTTGGGATGTAGTGCCATGAAGGCGGCTGTCGAAGTCGCACATGGTTAAGAGCTTGGTTTTGAAGACGCCAAGGTAGTTAAGAAGCTACACTTTACAGACATTAGGTCTTCTGAAGCTGAGACACAGAAAGGATAGATTGTCAATTTGATAAGTAAGGTGAATTGGGTATTATCCTGCATCGGAGTCTTCGATTTTATCGAGAAGACAAGAGCAACAGTGTAATACTGTGGACACTGTATATCATAGATTTCTAGGATATTTGTCCTGTCATATCTCGCAAGAAGTGAAGGAAACAGGTACTGTTGACTTGTTCTACCGCCCCCCAAATCCGGTATGATCCTGTCTGAAGCATCACCCATGTGCACGTACATGCGGTTGGTCAGGCTCTGAGAGAACGGTCAATGGTTGCCAACATCCAGGGAGACTAGTTCCAAGGATGTAGAGGCCTTGCCGAGCTGGAGCACATTGGTCCCACACAATGTACGTATCCGTGCTGCAGTGTTGCTTCGCGGCATCTGGCCAATGCAACTCGAGCAGGCAGGCAAGTTATGTTATCCGTGCCTGACAATTAGGCCGGTGGAGGTGTGAGAAGATTATCCTCGATAATAGTAATGCGCCTGCCATATAGGGCTCAGCTTTTACGATAGCACGCATCTTCCAGATGACCCAAGCCTCGGATGGCTTCATTCACCATGTCTTCGCCGCTTGTGCCGGCGGGGCCCTGCATTTTGCCGTAGCGCAAGTCGCTCATTTCTCCGACCGTGTTGTTGAGCATAGTCAAGATCGCTGTTGCTTCTTCATCGGTCTCAGAAACCTGACGGTCAATATCCGAGATGGCCTTCTCCATGGCATCCAGGAGACTGGATGGTGAATGATAGTCGGAAGACGATGTTTGCCCAAACAATTGGACATCCATATCCATCTCACGCTGATCGCTAGAGCTAAGTCCGTCAACACCTGTTTTGGCGACGGACTTCCGGAGCTCTGCCTTTTGGGTCTCCCCCTGGCGAACCTCCTTGTCAATGTTACCGTTGACGAGGTCCATGTCATTTTCCCGTAGCTCTTGCAGTTCGCGGTAGAGCGCCCTGATATGCGGATGAGACCGCAAACGCTTTGGGAAGAGCTCAGTAAACTGCTGTAACGACATGATCGTCGGCAAAGGAGCCGGTGAGAGCAGAAAATTGCCCAAGATTGAGGATTCCGTAGGCGCCATGGTGAATGAATAGCAGAATGGCGCAGCCAACAAACGAGGGAAATATGGTTAACACTCAATGCAGCTCGATTGCCCTTTGGAGGCTTTCTTCGATTCGCCTTCTGAGGTGATATCGTCTTGTCGCTGCTGTGTTACCCTCAATCGGAGTGTATCGCGTCTTGCGCCGATCAAGTTACCAGAACACCAAGGTGGCTGGGGTGGCACAATGATTGAGTAACAGCGCTTAGCTTGTTGAAGTAAACGACCGTAGCCGGTTTGTAAGCAAGATGTTGATGATACGTTGCTGGTGTTGATGGAATAAAGAAAGAGGAGGATGAGATGGCGGCGGGCAAAGCAATTAAAACTAGCCGGGAAAGTTCGTGACTTGCCTTTTGGACGCGTTCCTCATTCAGTCGTTCCGCTTCCTCTTCTTGTCCCAACCGCGACATGCTTTGAACCCTCACCACTTCTGCAACCCCATTATCCTCTCTAGTTGGCATTGGACCAGAGAGATTCGTCTTGTTCCAGTCATCTTCCCGAAATAATCAGGGAATAACTAGCCATTCACTGTGAGACCACCGGCTTCTGTCTTATATCGGAGGTTCTGACACTGCTTGGAGCCAACCAACTATCTTCCAAACCAGCCAGAATCATTATAAACTGGCTATCTGCAAGGCCTAGTGAAGGCTCACATCTGCCACATCACTCCCCTGCTCGTGTGCGCACAGTTGCTATTTTATTCGCTTGCTTCAGTCACTGTTCATCTCAGTGCACGTGCTGCGCAGAGGCAAATTTGACTTGACGAGACCTTAAATACCTGTCTCACCAATCTACTCCGTGTTTTTACTTGTTTCTTCTCGCGATCAAACTGGTGAAACCTGTGGCTGGTATTTTGATTTGCTATAACAGCATCCTACCCCTCAGTGACAGCAGACACCCCTTGATCTGTCTACGCGCCACTTCATCTCAAAATGGCTCCAACAAGCCAAATGACCTACCAGAAGGACGAGAGGGTTCTCTGTTTTCATCATGAGATTCTGTATGAGGCCAAAATCCTCGACTTGAGGCATACAGACCCAGAGGACCGTAAGAGTCCCTACGAGTACCTAGTCCACTATAAGGGCTGGAAGAATACGTACGTCTAACCTTGTGTTATCCCCCTCATCTCTCCAAACTCTCCTACCTCCTATCTTGGGATGGAATTGTGGTTCTACTCTACATGGCAGAAGGACGGGTTCGCGCAATTTCCCTTCTGCCGGTGAAGCCACCATCATACCGGAACGGAGAGGTGTCCTTGTCAGAGCCACAGTTGCTGACACTAGTTTTGTCTTTTCAGCTGGGATGACTGGGTTCCCCAAGACCGCCTTCGTAAATTCACGGAGGAAAACAGAGAATTGGCCACCACTCTTCGTCGTGAGGCAGAGGCTGCATTCCGCCAGAAGAGCACCAAAGCCTCTGTCAAGAAGAGGGGAGGCTCCGACCGCAGTTCCGCCCGAGGCAGCGAGGAAAGGCAAACCTCAGTGCCTGGCCGCGGAACCAAGAGAGCTCGTGACAACGATATCGAAAAGGTAAGTCTGCTGCATTTTTGCCTTCAATATTCCCTGTAGCCGGTCACACCGCTAGTGACGGTGCGCACACGGGGCAGCACTGTTGATCACACATACTAACTGTGTCATCACAGGAGGAGAGCTTTTACGTGCGGCCTTCAGTAAGGATCGTAATGCCAGATAACTTGAAGTCTCTCCTAGTGGATGATTGGGAAAATGTCACCAAGAACCAGCAAGTCGTGGCCTTGCCTGCCAAGTCCCCAGTCAATCAGATTTTGGACGACTACGTCAATGAGGAGAAGCCCAAGCGCACAAGCTCGGCTGATACGGACGTCCTTGAAGAAGTCGTTATGGGTGTACGCGAGTACTTCGACAAAGCGCTTGACAAGGTTCTCCTATACCGGTTCGAACGCGAGCAGTACCGGGCTCTCCGCAAAAAGTGGGAGGCAGGCTCGGGCGACTACGCTGACAAGGGACCACTCGACATCTACGGTGCAGAGCATCTGACTCGTCTTTTTGGTAAGTTTTCTGTCTTAATCTGTCCATATACATCACTAACAGATACTCTATAGCTACCATGCCCGAGCTCATTGCACAGACAAATATGGACCTCCAGTCAACGAATAGACTCCGCGAAGAACTGTCCAAGTTCACCATCTGGCTGAGCAAAAACTCCAGCCGATACTTTGCCACGAGATACATGACTGCGAGCAATGAATACATTGAAAAGTCGCGTGGCGTCCCGAATCCAACCCCTGGGACTGCGACATCGCGTCTAGTCTAGACGTGTGCCATTGAATCATTAATGCGTTTGCTTTTCTCCATCGTTTTTCTTCGAGCATATCTTATCTCCCTTCTTTAATTCGATTGCGTTCAACCGACTTGGGCTGCGACAAATGGTTAGTTAGCAAAGACTGAGGTTGCTTTTATGTATGTTACGGCGATGATCATACTTTATTCCTGTACCATTAGTAGGATAGAATTGGAATCACTCAGCTAGCGGAACTGGAATGTCAATCACTTTTTCCAATATGTGTAACTCAGGGAATATTCAACATAATACTGGCCAGCGAAGGTATAAAACAAAAGTAACAAGAACTGGATTTCCACCATCACCTAGTATCTAATCCGCTACCCCAAGCAACAGACAAAACACAGCCAATAGACACTCGCGAATCAACACAGAAGAAGCATCGACAACCTAAACAACCAACCCCCTCGCATCATCGACCGCACACCTCGCTGCCCTCTTTAACTCCATCTTCCAGTCCGTCTCACGATACCTCGTCCACGCTCCCAGCCCCTCCGGCGGCTGAATGCTCAACGTCTCATACCCCTGCTTGATGATTCGATGGACTTCCCGAGGACTCAGATTCTTTTTCAGGTTCGCTGGTACCGGCGCCGCCTCTCCACTCTTTCCCGCCGCTTCGGCATTCTGATCCGGGTCCACGAACAACAGCGTGTAGAAGTGCGTGGAGACGGAAATCAGCGTGTCGATGGCGGCTACGTGGACTTCCTTGTTGGTATCAGCGCCTGCGGATGCGGATGCGGATGTCTTGAAGTTGTAGACGTCGCGGAAGCGCGTGATGATGGGGCCGGTTTCGACGAGCTTATAGAAGAGGTCGTCGTAGGAGAGGGGGTCCGGGAGGAAGGTGTCGCCGGAGGAGACGCAGAAGGCGATGAGGTTGATGAGGGTGGTGGTTAGGGTTGTGGTGTGTGGGTTGCTGGTTAGGTCCGGGGCGTAGGTGGTTAGGAAGCGCGTGAGGGAGAGGAGAGTACGCCAGAGTTCGGACCAGTGGTAGGTGAGGCGGATTTTGTTCATGGAGAGGTAGGTGAGGAGGCGGAGGAGGATGGATATGCAGTGGCTTTTATCGGTTAGTGTCGGTGATACTTGTGTTTTTGGTTGAGGAGAAGGGGGTTTTACCTGTAGAGGTTGACATCGAGTCGGCGGCGGAGATTGTGGGTTAGGGTGTCGATGAGAATGTCGAAGATGACGGTTACTAGAACTCGATCGCCGTTGACGAGAGGGAGATATGGCTGTCTTTGACGGCAGAGGCGCACTCTGCGCTTGCTTTCTTCGCTGCAGAGTTGCTTGCATAGCGTGGTGTCTTCGGAGAGGATGCGCAGGGTGAGGAGGTTCAGCTCGGAGTAGTGGGCGACTCTTGGGGACCGATAGGCGTGCTGTAGGAGGTAGGAAGTGAGGGAAAGGAAAGAGGCGAATGGTGTCTCCTCGTTGTCCTTTTCGGGGGCTGCACTGATGAGATGGTAGCCGAAGAGCTTGTTGGCGTTAATGAAGTCGTAGGTAGCGAGGAGGATGGCTGCTTGTTGGGCCGGTCTGGTGTTGTTAGCGGGGGATAGCCTCTAGGAATGAGGAAAGGCTTACAGTGCTGCGAACAGATCTTTGGCTTCTTCTGCGGTTGGCGTGCCAGCTTTGTCTTTCTTGCCCGGGGCAAGTACACCCAAACCGAAATAGATCAGGGTACCGATGAGAGACCAGCCCTCCGGAGAGTCGTCTTGCACTGCAACATAGCCGTTTCGCAGAGCACCACAGGAGAGACCGACCCCCTTGGCAATCTTCTGGATACTGGCCTCGTTGACAAAGTCGTCAAGTCGCAGCTGGTAGGGGTTTTGGAATTCGAACTTGTTGTAGTTTGCCAGCAAACCCAAAAGCACGAATGGCTCGAACATTTGCATTGGAGTTTCCGTCTCTTGGACGAACTGGATTGACGATTAGCTTGGTTATGGGTTGCTTGGGAAGTAACAAACCTTCATAAGAGAAGGAAACAAGTCCCGGTGTGTGAAGTAAGAGACCAAACTTGTCTTGTACGCCCCGCTAGTCATGGCGATGGCGGCTTTTATGGCCTTGAGACGGATATCATCTGGCATTGGTTAATGCACGGTCGAAGTGATGTCGCCCATGAGAAGGGACTTACAGCTGCTGCCGTTCCGGATGATGCCATCCAGGACAGTGACAAAGTTGGAGATCACATGGTCTACATGGTCGAGACCAGCAAGAACAGTAATGACATCCGAGCTGGGGTTGGTGTACTTCTTCTTCAAGACACATGCTAAGAAGATCGTCAAGGTCTAGATCATGGTTAGAAAGTGATGACAGTCGTCGGGTAATACACGTACCTCGAGAGCATAGGAATCCACCGGACTGGAGGTGGAGGCCGCTTCGCGAATTGCGCGAGCAAAGAGTTGCTGTGTTTGGATCTGCTAGGGTGTTAAAAGGGACTGTCTACTGATAGACCAAGCATGGTGGCGACGCACCTGCAAGTTGAGGGTCTCGTCAGGACTGAGCTGGTTCAAGACCGCAGTAAGCCGAGTACGATCGGGAGGCAACAAGAAGAACTCGCGCCAAAATCCCTCCGATGGCTCTGCATAGTCGGTGGTCTAAGAAATTGGGTCAGCTGGAGTGGTATATACGCCGCGGGGACTACGATACATACTTGGAATAGATTCTCGTATAGTTGCACGATCTTAGGCTTGAAGGTTTCGGGTCTACTTTGTTGGGTTAAGGGGGATTCCATTGCGTTAGGTGAGAGAAGTGGCGGTCAGCATTAAACATGGGACCGCTGCCAGCATCACAGATGGGAAGTTTAAAGAGCCAATATGAGATTCGATAACGAGCGGGCCGATGGAAGAGGACTTGGAAGTGGACATGAAATGGTAGTCGCCAGCTTATTCGACCACCACTTCATTTCTCTTTTTCTGCCTATTCGGGCCAGCCCACACCAGCCACGCAACACCCCTGCTCCCCCACCAGCCACGGTTTATGTATGAAGGCGCCACGGTTGTGCTTTGTATTGTGTGAAAGTAGGGGAGGTCCAAGCCTCCTGCTCTCTTCCAGCATAATTTTATGATGATAGTAATTTCATTTATTCAGTCCCTTGACTTTCTTGTCGTTGTAGTGACAACACGTGCCTCTCCTCATGCCGACCATAAGATGACATAATCAGGGGCATGTGAAACTAACCACTTGATAACAATAAAAATGATGTATGACCTTGCATTATTAGAGTGACAAGGGTAGATATAATGCTCCCATATAAAGGATAGATCATGTGCGTAACGACTCTGCTATAGTCACACATAGACAAGGATCAGCAACTCTTTGCTGTTGTCCCCTGAAACATCCAACAAAGCAGAATCCCATTAGTCATGGTTAACGCCTGAGGTACTCATTGTGGTGTGGTGACTCGTTACTCAGGCAGCCGTGTTAGTAATAACGGTGAAGAGCATCAAGCCAATCACAGTAAAGGAGTAGCAATCGCAGGGCCAGCTCAGCAATGAACAAAGTCAGTGAAATGAAAGGAAACGGGACTGCTGCATGATCACTGGGTCATAGAGGGGCCATTTAGATTGCAACGGACAGTTCCCCAACAACCCCGGCTTCGATCAGGCGTTCATTTGAGGCCACAGCAGTGGCGCCACCGTCTTTGTGTAGAAACACCTCCACGCTGATTGGCCCGCCGGGTCCTGGCCCTGGCACCTTTTAACCGACCGCCGGCAGTCTTTCCGCCTCCCAAACAGACTCAACTTCCGACTCTCCATCATTCTTCCACTTTTCCATCATATTCCTTTTCGTTCAGCGACAACACAACGATTAAATCCATGACATTTCAGCTCCCCGTTACTCCTACTGCAGTATAGAGCATCCTCTTCATCAAACACATCGCATTCTCCCAATATGTCGCTTTGCAAAGCTACCATGCCCTCGCCGGTGACATCATCCGCCACGATCCTCACCTGGCTCAGACAGTCCTCCTCCAGACGCTCGACGCAGACCTGCCGTCTCTTCTCGTCATACGGCAATGCTCACCGGTCCTCGAAGCGCGAATTGCAGACTGCCACTGCCTACCGTCCTCACTCGCTGCCCACCTCCTTCCCGCCGCCCCGGAACACGGGCATCTCTGACACTTCCATCGCCGCCGACTTCCCTTCCCTTCGTGAGATGTCCCAGCCTCAGCTGCCCGGCCAGCAGGGCCTGTCCGACCTAAGCCTCCGGGAAAGCGAGGCCCAGAAGTCCAAGCCTGCTCCCGCTCCTGCTCCCGCTGAAAAGACCGCCGCCAAGCCCACAGAGAAGCCCCGGCGCAAGCTGCGTGCCAGGAAGGCCGCAATGAAGCTGACCCCCGTGGCTATTGAGCAGCTTCGCAAACTCCTCTCACAGCCGAACCCCAAGCTGATTCGAGTCGGTGTGAAGAACCGTGGCTGCTCCGGTCTCGCCTACCACCTGGAGTACGTGGAGAAGCCGGGTACTTTCGACGAAGTAGTGGAGCAAGACGGTGTCAAGGTTCTCATCGACAGCAAGGCCTTGTTCAGTATCATCGGTAGCGAGATGGACTGGCAGGAGGACAAGCTGAGCAGGAGATTCGTTTTCCGCAACCCGAATATTAGTAAGCTTCCCTTTGTCCGCGGGAAACCCCAGAAACGGCTGCTAACGTATCACTTCTGCAGAGGAACAATGTGGATGCGGTGAATCCTTCATGGTCTGATTTATGAAACTGAATTGGCACCTTTCATATGTTTTGAGTTCATAATTATGCGGATTCATGGGTTTTCTCGCGTTTGTGCATTGGCCGGCGTTTTACTGGTGGCGGGTTTGGCGGGTTCGGATAATCCCTTCTTTTTTAGTGCTTCATGCTGGACATACATTGATTCCCGGGCAATGAGCCCACTATTGTGCAATATATCTACTTTGTCATATGATCGACGGCACTGCATGATACCGCAGGCAACATTTGTTGAAGATTCAGCGACACAAGCCGTGATCAATTATTACTTTATCACTACTTATGTAGGACGATCGTGAATACAACAATAAATCTAAATGACTATATAATCTCCAGAACACCGTAGAAACCTCGAGTAAAACTATAACCCAAATTAGGACTAAAATCACCGAGCTTACATGCAGCATTGGCCTTTCGGTTCCTTCGGAACCTTAGATTAGATCCGGAGTACTTGATTTAAGATGTCGGATGGCCTGTCCGATCCCTGCGATACCCCGGCTTGTGCCTGCACATCCGATAGTAAATGAAGTGCTCATAAGCTGAGATGTCCAGAATACAATAAGTCTCCTATCTCGAACGGCTGCACTTATTCATCAACTCTACCTACTGCATTTCCTACTTCCACTTTCGCAATACCATCCCTTGCAGCCCCCCATAACATATTGATAACACTGACCATCTCGATTTCTAGTGATCATCATACCACATACAAACAACCTCAAAACACAATAACATCAATCTAAAAGCACATCACCGCACCACCCTCTCCCAAACCCCCTCAACATCCTCATGAGGACTAATATTTTCCACGATTCCCAACGCCGTCGTCGGCTTCTTATACCCCAACAACTCCAACATCTTCGGACTCATCTTAGTGACCACACTTCTGGGGATAGCGAGGAACTGATTCTCCTCCGTCCGCAAATGACCCCTACAAAAGAATAAGCCGTACATATTCCTCACCGTCCCAGGGAGCGAGTTATGTCCTCCTCCATGGTACGCCGAGGCAAGGAATATCAGCGCTGAGCCGGCTTTCATCTCTACCCATACCCAACACCACCGACATCAGAAAAATGCCAATAAAGGGGGTAGTAGATAGATAGATAGGTAGGGCAGGTAACGTACCAGCAAAACACACCTCCCCCTTCTCATGGTCAACCTCCGCCCACCTTTCATCCCCCCACCGATGACTCCCCTTCACAAACATCGTCGCCCCCATCTCCCGACTAACATCGCAGCCCGCAATTAGACACCCAAACTGACTCACCTGGTCCCATCCCCACTCCCACTCGCGATACTCATGTCGCACATGATGCACATTATCGTCCCGGTGGAGGAGCTGACGAGGCGCCCCGTACCCGATGTTCATTGCCACGCTGAGGCTGAGTAACGGTTCGAGACGGTTCGGCTCCACGCTGTCTTCGCGGTTGATGCACCATTCGTCCACGAGGATGCGCGTGCGCAGGGCTTCCAGGGTGGGATGCTCCGCGGTGATTCGTGCGATGGTGGGGGATTTGCCTACCAGGCCGGGGATGAGGGTCGTTTGGGAGGGGATGGTGGTGAAGGCGCCGTTGGTTGTGGAGGTGGAGGTGGAGGTGGGTTTCTTGCTGGTCCATGGGGTGAGGTCGGAGTCGATGGCGGTGAGGTCTTCCTTTGGGATGAAGTCGGAGATGATTACGCCGCCGTCGCGGGAGAGGATGGCTAGGATGTATTCGATTGGGGTGGTGGAGGGGATAGTGCGTAGGGAGGATTTCGGGGTGTAGGTTGCTGGGATGGGGGGTGGGATGGGGAGGGGGAGGCGGGTCATTTTGGTTGTTGTTGTTGCTGTTGCTACTTCGTAGCGGTTTTTCAAATGTAGATTGCTTTTTGGCCGGTATGATGATGCTGGTAGTCTCTGTATCTAGAACTATGCCTCGAGGGGCGTGATATAGTTCCCCTCTCGGGTCGGGTCGGCTTCGTTGCGGAGATCGGGTGGCATATCCGATGATAGGGCTGACATGTGTGATTGATAGATGTTGTGACTGGGTCTACTGCACTGGTCTGGAGATATCATATAATGGACTGGTGGACTAGTACAGTGATGGTGTTGTCTGTTTCCGTACTACCGCTTCAGGTGTAGCTCGGGATATGACCATTATCAGTTAAGAGTTATGTATTGGATGTAGTATAGTTGCTATTCAGAGTGTATATTCAATTGCAGTGCATATGCTCTGCTACTGCTCTCGATGACATCAAGAACACCTTAAATGCGAGTTATAAGCTCCACTCACCTTGAAGCTCCATATACACGACTCTATATACGTAAGTCAATGCCACACCTCACAAATCTTCCCCCTCCTGAGCTAGCCAGAAAGATGGGCTAGCATTGTAATCTATCTGATCCACAATGGCCGCGATATCATAAGACGTCAATCCCAGCTCAGGCAACTCATCCTCTGAGACATTTATATCCCCAGTGATGAACGATAACTGGGTGTTGTCATTTGGCCTATGATCCTGCTCATGCGCATCATCACTCGTCTCTGGAACCAACGCGGTACTGATGTGATTCGCCGCATTCGCATACCGCTCCTTTAGTCCCTCGAACAAGGTCTCGAGACGAGTCAGATCAGCTTTGCGAATTTCGGCTACGCGGTTCCCCTTGCTGATGATTTCATCGAGAATCATATGGGCTTGTTGGTTGGAGCTGCGCTGTCCGACTAATCCAGGTACAAGGGCGCTGGCCATTGTGAGGTGGATAGCGGCGCCGTACGTAAATTCTAGGTCGAAGGGGAAGAATGATTCTGCGGTGCGGTTAGTAGCTGATAATTGTTCTTTCTGAATTTCCTCACCTAGAAGGCCCTCGTCCACTAGAGCTTTGAGTAACTGTAGACTTTTGGTCGCTGAGTTGATCCCCGTTGACATCAGCGTTTCCATGAGAGGGACAATCCGGCGGCAGCATTCTAAAGGGAGGCCAATTTTATCCAGACGCTCCCGTAGAACGGCTAGAAGGAGGGGCCGTGTGGCAACGATGACACACTAGTAGTATGAGTTAGTTTGGATTTTATATTTGCTCAAAAGCAGACATACCTCGTGATATAGCAGGAGGATATGTCGCATCCCTTTCGACATGGAGTTAACCGGGCCTGCGAATTTGGTATTGATAAAGTCCTCCAATTCCCGAGCTAGATCTGCCATAGTGTTTAAAATAGTCTTCGTTTTCTCAATGAATGATTCGATGGGCCGTCTCTCAGTCCTGTAAACGGCTATCGTCCATGAGTCGATATCCTCTCGTAATGGTGATTTAAAACCTACTGCCAAGTATTGTGGACAATAACCGCGATAGCTTCACTCTCAGACTTAGCATAGCGTTCCTCTGGCACGACTGTGTTGGGGAATCAATTAATGCTGTGACATCGCTATCATGCACAATCATCGGTATGCCAAGTGATGACGAAAAATGGCGGTCCATAATGTACAGCGTCCACCACAGATTACGGCAGCGATCAACAGCTGCTGCCCCCAGTTCTTGCTCCGGAAGCTCCGTGTGTAGACCTTCAAGTTGCGCAATCCGGATGGCCTGGCTAGCCTGTACTTCGTTAGGTTTCCCACCCCGCGCAATTCTGAAAGCAAGCCAGGTTCTTACAAAAAGGTGTCCTGACTCTCGTCGATCAATCGAGTAGAGATACAAAGCTGCTAGAGCCATGACCTCGATGGCCAGAAGGGTATCTCTCCATATAGAACTGTAATCTGGCATTAAAGACATGGCACGAACAAAGTATGCTGCACCTGGCGGGTCTCTCTTCTTAGACTGGTCAAGAAACGCTTTTCCGAAGGACAACACTAGCAAAAACTGGATGAACCATAGCCGACTATCAGTTGCTTTCTTGGTTGCATCGCCGTAGTAGAACTCTTGCATATGCGTTGTGAAGGTCTCCTCGTCCAAGAGCCGGAAAGTCTGGCCCAGATGGAACTTGACTGTGTTGAAGAGATAAAGAGCGTAGTCCATAGATGGGAGACCGCTGATGTCAGGAGCAGCATCAGAAGACGACTTCCATTGTAGAGGATAGATATCTCCATCAAGATAGTAGGGAATATCGTAGGCCACGTCCGGATGCAGCCTTTGAGACATCATCAAAGTGAGACGAGCGGTAAACGACCAAGTAGATGTTGGAGCCAGCCAGACTAGTCAGGTCAGCCGCATGCGCATAACAACCAGTATTACATCAGAGGGGAGAGTGTCTGGTCTTACTCCATCGGGATAATCGGTTATCATGGGTATTCCTCATCGTCATTGAGGGCAGACCAAATGGACTGGGCCAATTTGCACCTGGAGAACGCGATTCTGAATCGAGAACATCTAACAGGGTAAGACTACATCGAGGTAACAACTGCACTTGCCCGCGTCATATACATACTTTCGACTTCCTCGAAGGCAACATCGTGAGTTCGTTTCTTCGTCGTCTCATGCTGCTCTTTAGCCTGTGTCTGCAACTCACGGAGGCACCTGCCGCATTATGAGCATCGTATGATCCATAGCCATCATCTCATTTGGAAAGGTACCGTTCCGATATCAGAACCCTACGATTTTCTTCGGAAAACCGACAAGGAACAGCGCGTCTCTGACAATTGGTGCATGGTTCGACCCCAGAGCATTTGATTTTGCTCTGGCGACAAGCAATACATCTGGATAAGCGGGGTCAACATCGATAAGCTAGTTTCCAGATTATTTTCCAGGTTTCTTACGCATTCGCCGTTCGTTTCAACTTGCGGGGCTCGGCTTGCATCGTGAAAATCACCCGAGGCACCAAGGTAAAAACCCCTAGGCAAGCGATTTAATCCGCCACAATGTCTGTATCTCAGAACATTTTGACACTTCTGGACTTAGATAGGAAGGAGGGATAATGATAAGCTAGGAGGATGAGGGGAAGACGCCGATCACGAGACCGGCTCGGTCTTATCAAACCCCACAGACGCTGTCGCTTTTGCTCCAAACTAGTTACCCGTTCGGGAAAGTCGCGTATAATTACTTATATTTGTCCGTCTTCCTACACCTTCTATTTTCTGATATTGTCTCAATGATGTTGTCTCAACGAAGATATAATCCGGTGCTTGAGGGGCCATCTCACCACCGCTGGATGGCATTGCCACACATTGAATACTTTCCGAAACAGCTCCTACAAAGACAATTTAGAGAGTGCTCCGTACTGGAGCGAACGGGTCTAAGGTGTATGAATCTATGTCAGACGTAGAGGAAACGAAAACGTAGTCAAAGCAAGTGTTGATTGTCGCTATCTAAGTGCATTTGCCTAAGAGATATACAAATAATGATTGGCCGTACCCGGAAGGAGCGTCCTGCCCGCTGCAGAGAGCAATGTCACGCAAAGCTGTCGCAGTGCCATGCAACATTCAGAAGCTTATGCTCTGCTTGTTCTATAGCACATGGAAGTAAATACACATTCAGAACATTAAAAGACTGACGATCTCGATAAACATATGTACTTACTCTACTGGGGAGCAGTACAGCCAATCACACGTCCTCCTCCCTATAACTATAAGTCACGTGCCAAACCCCCAGAAGACCTCAGGCAACAGCCTTATCGGAGGTTATCGTAAGCAAGCCGTGACGTACCGACATCGCCGGCTTCATTCTTGAACACAAGACTACCTCAACCCAGATCCCTTATACATAGACACAATGGCATCATCATCCTTTCTAAAATCCCCTCCGCCCCTCGACCTTCCACCCTCAACCTCAACCTCCAACCCCCTTTACGTGACCATCCGCTTCTCCGCCTCCATCCCCGATCTCCCCCTCGACATCTTCTCCCCGGAAACCACCACCTCCGCGGGCCTAAAACAACTCATCCGCACACGTCTTCCCCCTAATCTCTCCTCTCACCGTCTCCGCCTTATCCACGCTGGCCGTGGCCTCGAAGACAAGACCCCTCTCTCCGTATCCCTCAAACTCCCTCCCACACCCACACGCTCCCCGCGACCACCAACAACCTCCCCGCCCAATGACACCACCTCAGACCCGGCCTCCGATCCCAACCGCAAAGGCAAAGCCCCCGTCCGCGACCATCCCCGTCTCTACATCCACTGCTCCATCGGCGATATCGTTCTCTCAGCGGCCGATCTTGCCGCGGAAGCGTCGATCGCATCTACACTCCACGACGACGAAGAACAATCACCATCAGACACTCACCATGATGGTGGTAGTGCCAGAGGGCACCGACAGAAAGATGTACAGAGTGGCGGTGACGCTAGTACTACGACGCCCGCGCCACGGGGTTTCGACCGGTTACTCTCGGCGGGGTTTACACCCGCGGAGGTGGCAGGCCTCCGGTCGCAGTTTCTAGCGGTACAGTCGGTGTCGCATACCCCGGATACGATGCCGTCGGGGGCGGAGTTGCGGGAGTTGGAGGATCGGTGGATGGATGAGGGGTCGACGGCGGCTATGGCGGCTGGGGGAGGGGGCGGGGATGGTGGGGTGGTGTCGTTTGCGGAGGATGATGGGGGGTTTGGGGCTGGGTCGAGGGGCGCGATGGATGATATGCTTTGGGGGGCGGTGATGGGGTTCTTTTGGCCGGTTGGGTGTGCCATGTGGTTGAGGAGGGAGGAAGGGGTTTGGAGTTGGAGGAAGGGGTTGGCGGTCTTTGTTGGGGTCGTGGTCAATATTGCTTTTGGGGCGATGAGGATTATGAATTAGTGTTTTTTTTTTGTTTGGTTTTCTTTTTTCCATGTATTATACCCTTGATTGTTGTTTTTTTTTCTAAGTTTTCTAGACATCTTGGGGCTTGGCTTGTCGAGGGAATTGTGCGAGGTACTAGAACATGTAACATGGCGCCTGATTAAAGCTGATGGGTTGCTATCATACAACATTGCGTGATGTGTCTGCGACTGCAGACTTATAGGTGTCGTTAAGAGGGAAATAAATGAAAGAGAGGCCACCGGTAATAACGCCTTCCAAACCCACGCTCAATGGAACTTGCTGTAGATAACGGCGAAAATCAACAAGATCAAGACAGTGATGATTGCGATTGTGATCAACCGATTCGTAGCCATCCTAGAAGACAGTAAGCATTTGGGCATCAAGCGGCTGTGACAAGCAGTGAAGCAAATGTCTTTGAGAACTAGGGGGACAGTACCTACGGGCCATGCCCCTTAGTGTCTTGATACTGGTGTCCACATATCCTTCGCTCTCGAGCAGTCGACCCCGCGCATTCATAATCGTCTCGCGCTGCTGGTTCAAGTCGGCCAAGGTGTTGCGACCAATATCCTCCGTTTCGAGGGCGATGCGCTGACTCTCCTGGAGCCGGGCGGAACTGCGCTCCAACCGCTCCGTACCAGACAGGAGCTGTTGTCTTTGTTCCAGATGTTCGTCCTGCGGATCATCTGTGTAGCGGTCGCCGAAGAGCGCCTTGCGGTCATCGGAGAGAGACCTCAACTTGCGCTTTGCCTCGTCGATATCGGTAGCGTAGTTTCGAACGCGCGTGTTGATCTTCGATCGTGCTGCTGAGGGGATATTCTGTTTCTCCATGCGCATTTGATCTAGCTGTTTTCCCGCTTGTTAGTGGGGAATTGACGCGGAATGCGCTTTTTGACAAGCTAGTCGAACATACCAGTTCCGTGGCTTCATCCAGGGCTCTCTCGGCTTGCCTGATTGCTGACTTTCGTTGTTCACCGCTTGACTCGGCGATTTGGTCCAACTTCTGATTCAAATCGGCTTGTACCAGCTTTAGCTCGGTCTCGTAGCTGCTGAAGAGCTCCGAGCCGGCATCGGTGTCCAACGGGTTCGACATTATGATATTAGATGGGGGGTTTGCGTAGGTTGAAGAGTCTTTCGTTATGTTGCACAGCCGATCGAGACCGAATTAATCAGTGGATAGGGGTTGCGGATCCAAGTAAGTGGAGAGAATAGTACGGAGTAGCCACCTTATCTTCCGTGGTGGCTGGCGGCGCCCGTGCTGCTCCGGGAAAGAGATTGGGACAATCAACGGAGTGAACGACACGGTCTATGAGAGAATGAACCAGAATCAGCTCGAAAAAGAAAAACCAGTATATCCTAAGGACAGACAGAGATGCAGCTGGATGGAAAGCAGATAGGATAGGCAGATGCATGGAGAGAGACAACTGGCTGGCCTGCGGCGATGACAGGAACGGCGACGGGCACACGTGATCGGCGACCGAGGCAGAGGGATCCGGCTGACGTCGTCGGGCTCAACGGCCGTTAAACCAGACTAACTTATTAGTCTAATTGTTGTTGCATCGCATCTGGCGCCAAGTTCGACCAACAGATCCATTGTATGGATTCCATCCATCGTGCCGTTGAATGCCCCTCCCCCAATCCAGGGTCCCAGCGCTCACCCTCGCTTGTGGAAGGCTAACATTATGGTTGGCTTGTTCCTTTCCATTCCTTCGAGGAGAATGGTCCCCTGACTCGTGGTCAATTAACTTCTCTAGGATTCGCCCCCCTCATTATTTCCGTCTCAGATCGGTGGAGCTTCCTCCTCGACTCATATAATGGGCCTATTTCCTTAGGCCCCCTCACTAGTGACAAGTCACATATTTACCCCAGTTTTCGGTTGTGCTCTCTTTTCGGTAGATCTTCCTTAATCTCAAGGAACATTCCTTGAATACTTCGACTGAGCCGCCCTAGCTGTGTCTGTCATCTGATGCGATCACATTTGGCCGCCACATGAGGACAAGAGCGCGTAGCAGGTTGGGATCTGAGCGCACATGGTCGTCTTGATAAACCTGTCGTCACCCTGTCTTCGATCTTCCTGTGAGACTGTTCTGCTACTTTACCACATCAATGTCCCCTATCCCAGTATCTCCGGATAGGGCAAGGAGTACTCTACAACCTTTTCAAGCTGTCTACTAGACACTGAGCCTGGTCTTGAATCAGCATTCCAGCGCCCTAAGTTCGTGCCGATATATTCTTTTCATTCTCTCCGGTTGGCCTGCTCTATGGCAAGGTTAGCCGCTAACAGCTGTTGTTTTCATGCCGCCCTTTCAGCCTGAGCGGGTTGCTGTTATAGGGGGCGGTTGCACGGGTATCACGACCACCTGGGCGTTGCAGAATTCCACCCATGACGTTCATCTATTTGAAGCCTCAGACTCTCTTGGTGGGCGCGTAACTGCCCTGCCCTTTGAGCATAATGGTCACCGAGTTGATGTCAATACAAGTTCTCCCACTTTCAATGCCGGGGCCTCTCGTTAGTGACAACTTCCCAGCCCGTATCTTTCTTGGCTAATTCACATCTTCAGCAAACCTCGTTTCGTTATTAGAACACCTTGGGATTACCAGTGTTAAGGCTCCGTTCTCCTTTGGGGCTACGGATGGGATTGACAGTTTCCAATGGTGTGGTAGCATACTGAAAAGCATTCTTCTTCGTCCATGGCAACTTTGCAACTTAGAGACCTATCGCATACTGTGCGATGCCATTTGGCTGAAATTCATGGCCGTGGATGTACTCGATCCCGGCTTTGAGGCTTGTAAACCCACGGATCCCCAGTCGTTATCCACGCATGAGTACCTCGCAGGCGAAGAGTACTCCAATACCTTCATCGAGAACTACCTAGCCCCACTGCTGTCCATTCTGTGGAGCACGAATGCGGGGAAGTTCCTGCCACGGGTTCCTGCGAAAGCCCTCGTCCAGGCCCTGTATCATCACCAGCTGCTGAAGCCTCGTCAAGCCTTGCCAAACTGGCGTCGTATCGGACCAGGAGTGAGCCAGTTCATCCAGACCATGACCAAAAGCTTCCCATCCTCGAAGGTTCATCTCAAGACTAGAGTAACGGAGATTGTTCAGTATGGAAAGAAGTACGGTATCATGACATCTGCAGGCGAAGAACTGTTCTTCAACCATATCATCTTCGCCGTCAACGGCCAGGAGACCATCAAGATACTGGGATCGCTCGCAAATGAGCAAGAAAAAGAGATCATCCGAAGTTTAGTTTCGACTAGGAACATTTCTGTTCTACATTCTGATCCTCTGGTACGTCCCATCTACTTCCCTTATCTATGGCCTACTAACCTACAAACCAGCTCATGCCCAACGTCGAGGATCCCGGTCCCGCCTGCAACTACATCCTAGGCCCCAGCAACCAAGACTGGCAAACCCAACCAAGCACCACCACATCTCACATCTCCAGCCTCAGCTACATCGCCAACTTCCTCGACAGCATCCCATCCCACCTCTTCGGCCCCATATACATCACCCTAAACCCCTTCACCCCACCGCACCCAAGCCACGTGCAAGGCGTATGGGAGTTCACCGACCCGGAGCCAAGTACCCAGACCCTGATAGCACAACATCATCTCCCCACCATGCAGAACAAACGTGGTCTAAGTTACGGTTTCTGCTGGACAGGACGCGGACACTTAGAAGATGCCATCACGGCTGGTCTCAAGATCGCCATCCAGGATTTAGGCGCCGAGGCCCCGTTCCACGTGCAATTCCACCAGGATCCATTGGAGGCGGCTGCATCAGGGCCTCCTCCGAGCCTCGGCCTGAGAGATAATGTGGTCCGGACGATCATTCGTTTGATTCATGTTTATGTTCTTATTCTGAGATTTGTTTTGGTCCTGTTGAGGGCTTTGCCGGGTGTGGCTGGGAAGGCGAAGACGAGGTTTAGACCGGTGTGCCATACCAGTACTGCCGGTGGTAAGAAGAAGAGGTCTTGATGATGTTTATATTCTTATACTTCTGTTTATCTTTTAGAGTGAAGATTCCCTGGACGTTTTATTTTATGGATACTACTAGACAAGGAATATTACAAACTTGTTTCTGGAGGTTGAAAATAGAATCCCTAATACTAGTAGTTGACATTAACGTAAAATAGCTCATTCATAACAGAAAAAGCAATCGCTCTTCCCGGTTTAGTTAGGAAATATAATAAGACCTGCAGACATGGTATACATATTGCTTTCTTGTATGTGTTTGTTTCTTTCGGTTGTTTTCTCTTCACACCCCGTCTTGCCTGTTCTCCAAAAATCCAGCCAAGTGGTATGTCACTTCCCGTTTATTTGAGGTACTTCTCACTATCCTGGTTCACGATCGTGGCGCTCCTCCGCGCATCAAGGAACAGGTCTTCGCACTCTGCCACGTCGGCTTCCTCGATGCCGCCTGGGCGTCCATTTACCTTGGCAAGGATGCTAGCCGGGGTAAGTAATTGCAGGGCATACCGCAAGCTGACCTTGCTGCCGTGCTCGGCGACCTTGTCCAGGGCGGGGTCGGTGATACTGAGGCCTTCCGTCTTGGCGCGCAGGCGAATGATGGTCTTGATCTCATCGGGAGAGTAAGGGTGGGTGGGGATGATAAGGAGACGAGCGAGAAGGTCGGGAGGGATGCCGTGGGCGGCGGAGATGTCGTCGGTGCCGCGGATGACAGTGTTGCCGCGGTTGGAGGCAAGGATGACAATGGGGGAGATAGAGGACTCGAGGGCCCGGTTGAGGTATGTGAAGCATTCGATGTCGAGCATGTGAACCTAGGAGTGGGGGTTAGCAATTGATTGTAAGGTAAGGCACTCAAGACCTAAGATGATTCACCTCGTCGATGAAGAGGACACCGGGAACGAGCTCCGCAACGCCCTGGTCGATGTAGCGGTTGACGACCTTGTTGATCTCCTGGCGCAACTTCTCCGTAATCTCGGTCTTCTTGGGCTTCATGAGCTGACCCATCATGCTCATTACATCCTGTCCACCCTGGGGCCGGGCATTGGCCATGTCCAGATCGTGCAGTGTCACATCCTGGACGATTTCCTTCTTCTTGTGGACCTCTCCCTTCGGTACGGGCACGTATTCCTCAGCTTCAAGATCGAACTCGGTGGCGTAGGCGTCGGACCGTCCGACACGCTTGCAGGCTCCAGTATTCGCTTCGATGTAAATGACGTCTCCCACGGTGACACGCTCCTTTTGGATGGCCTCGTAGATGCTGGGGTCCAGGCGCAGCTTCTTGGTACCCTTGGCGGACTTCAGACCGATGATGAGATGGCTGATCGTGCGTCCGTATCCTCCCAGAGGGTTCTCCGTCTCTTCGGGGGTGAGTTCCGTCACTTCACCTTCGTATACTTCCTTCGTTTCGCGAACACGGAGACCTATCGATGCATTAGAGTCTATTGGGTTGTTCGCGTCAGAATGGCATAGATCGCGTACCGATTGCCCTCCGGAAGTTCTCCATGAGCGCCTCTGTTTTCTTGACCTCAGCAGAGTAAATCTCACTACCAACAATCGGACAGAACGGGACTTTGGTTCCCAGCTCCTGCGACACGGCGAGGGCCAGGGCAGTCTTTCCAGTTCCGGGTCCACCAGCCAGGAGGACAGCCCGACCGGCCATCTTCTTCGCCTTGATCAAGTCAACAACGACACCGCATGCCTGTTTTATCAATCCTTCCGGTTAGTACAAGGCTCATGGGCTTGGAAAGTGAGGGATCTAGGCGGCAATGTTGTCGCGTACCTCACGGGCAGTTGCCTGTCCAACGAAACCATCTCCTGAAGCCTCCGCGGTGCCATCTTGTCGTAGACCAAGACCCTTGATATGCGTGTGGGCTGCGGTTCTGTTCTCGCGCGAGTTGCCCTTCACTTCACTGATTTGGACCATGGTGAAGGGATTGCGACCTCACTCGGAAGCCACAGATATGCGATCGTGGTGGGGTAGAAAGTTCCGGTAAGGAGGAAGGCACACGAGAAGTAGGAAGAGCTGACAGAATCAGGAAAAGCTAGAGATGATGAAAGGGAAGATGAGTCTGGATGCAGCTGCTTCTGGCCGAAATTCAAGCGCAGCTGGGGAGGATCGATCAATGATAGCCGGCCGTGGCCAAGGCGGTCAGCCGCGACCCCCAAATTCTTTCACCATCCGGTGCTGGACGGTCCACGCCTATCTCCAACTATCTCGTCCGCTCTTGCTGTGCTCTGCCGGCGCCTGTTCTTCTTCTTCCCGACCGATTCCCTGTCATGGTCGACTGCCTCTCGACCTTTTGATCTACACAATGGCGGGTTTACAGACTCGTTCGACCATGTCCCTTCCGTTCTCCCTCTCTGCGGCTTTTCGCAACCTTTCCGTCACGACCTCCAAACGTTCCTTCTCCACGACATTGGCGGCACAGAAGACGAAACAATTGCCGGATTACATCCCTCCTTACCCCTACGGCCCGAACTATGTCTTCAAGCAGTCCAACTCCGGTCTTTACGGAGGCGCGATGATCCAATTCGGAAACAAGATCTCACAAGGCCGCAACGAGGGCAAGACCCGCCGATTCTGGAAGCCCAACGTTCGTCGGAAGAAGCTCTACAGCGAAGCACTCGAAAAGGATCTTTTCATCAAGGTCACGCGCAAGGCGCTGCGCACGATCCGGAAGGCCGGTGGCCTCGACAACTACCTTCTGAGCGACCGCCCGGGCCGCATCAGGGAGATGGGTATCTTTGGATGGGAGTTGCGGTGGCAGATCATGCAGACACCGAAGATTCAAGAGAGATTCCGGGAGGAGCGGAAAAAGCTTGGTATGCCCGAACCGCCTACGTTCGAGGAGTGGGTGAAGCAGAAGGAGGACGAGATCAAGGCGCAGGTGGAGGCGGAGACGAATATCAAGGAGATCACGAAGCCAACGTACAACGAGAAACAATACTAGAAGACCTACAGGGCAAGTCTCTAGTAAATTCGATTTGGGACGGTCAATTTCGGTTGATTATCTGGTGACCAACGGATGGGCGTCTGTTGTATTATTATTTCTCTGGTCATGGTCGACAGCGTCTGCATACCGCTTTCATATATCTCGGATGGTGAAAAAGACGACTGTACAGCTGCTATTTAGATCTTGCATGGACTGCTTGGATTTGCGTGATTCGCTCTTCAGTGTATTTATATGTTACCAATGCGATTTGAATTAATTGACCTTGGTGTGCACATGGCGTTGAAGGGACTAATGCAGTTATACTACCTGCAGATTAGCCCTCGACGTGGTAATTTTACATGGACCAATAACCGTCCTTACATTTACACTGATCTAACACCGCGTCAGAAGGCTACCATTGGCCCTGGAAGCTACTTTGTAGTTTGGGATGCAATACATCAGCAGGAACATGTGCGGGATCCCATATGCCCAAATGGGAAGACACCGTATCTATACATAGACATCAAACAACCACAACCTTACTTCATAATGAGCCAACCATTAATAATCATCGTCGCTGGCCTTGGAATGTCTCAATAATAGCCAATCTGCAAGGTCATCGGCTTTGTCCCTGGAATGCTACGATCTTTCGGACCAACAAAGATCCGCGGGCGCATTTCCGGATCCGGCAGATGAGCCCGTGAAGCCGGATCAGTTACAAGCAATTGATGCTGCCTCCGCTCCAAGCTCATACTACGTGCTAGAATGTCCTGATCTATCGGAGCTGCAATTGACTATCTTTACATCTTTTACAGTCGCCCAGCATCTACTCGCTGGGGACGAATATACCCATCATGCAATTCGCCCTGCCTCCGCGGAGGACTCCGATAACCCCTCCGTACGCTCGCTCGTCGCGAATCTCACTCCAGCGCAGGAAACAGCTCAAAGCAGTGGCCATCCTGGGCTTTTCCCTGCTCACCGTCTTCTTTCTTCTCTCCCAGTTCTTCTACACAAGTACAGGGGCCCCCGCCGTACCAGCAGGAACATCCAGCATCGTCGTCGTCACCGTTCTAGACCGGACGGCTTGGAGTAACGAGTACATCCAGAAGATCGTCAAGAACAGAGAGGACTATGCTAAGCGACATGGTAAGGCGACAATAACCCAGTCACCTCCCTCGTGTTGAGTAACTCCAAATGTCTCACAATTGCGATCCAGGCTATACGAACTTCTTCGCCAACGTGTCCGACTACGAAACCGTCCTCGATAACGCCCCGAAGTCCTGGGCCGTCCTTCCAGCCCTCCGTCACGCGATGGCCTCCAACCCGTACTCAAAGTACTTCTTCCACCTAGACGCTCATGCCCTAATAATGAACCCGGGAAAATCACTTGAATCGCACGTCCTCGACAACGACCGTCTCGAATCCCTCATGCTCAAGGACGTCTCCGTCGTGCCTCCCGATAGCATCATCAAGACATTCTCGCATCTACAACCCCGAGATGTCGATCTCATCATGACCACTGATGCGGAGGATTTGAGCTCCGGTAGCTTCCTCCTTCGACAGGGCGACTTTGCCAAATACTTCCTCGACTTCTGGTTCGACCCTCTGTACATTAGCTATAACTTTGCGAAGGCCGAGACCCACGTTCTGGTAAGTGAGAAGACAAATTACGTTTCTTCCGTCTTTAGCTTTTTTTCATTATGCATCGTACACCTCTAGTATGATGCTCGCTTTATAAAATTCTGTTGCTTTTTTTATCTTTCCTCGCTATTTTATTTACTTTTTTACCGTGTCACCAGACTAAGTAACTAACCCACGTCATCAGGATCACATTGTGCAATGGCACCCGACCATCTTGGCCAGATTGGCTCTGGTTCCACAGCGGACCATCAATTCCTACAGCAAAGATTCCAACGGAGCTTCCGTGGACGGTGTCTATAAGGATGGTGACTTCGTCATTCGATTCCTTGGCTGTGACACCGACACGAAGCGGAGTTGCGAGAAGGAAATGGAGCCGTATTATCGGCTTTGGGCAGGGAAGATGAAGAACGAGTAACCTCGTTCTTCTTTCTCTTT